TGGTGTGGATGATCAAATTGATAAAAGCCGAGAAAAAATTACGTTACAGCTCAAAGGTTTAAGCTAATTTGATCGTCTTCAAAGATGCTATGGCTATTTCACTTTTCGAATCGAGCCGAACTACGGGAGTCGCCATTTTGTTTTGCCCGGAAGTTCTCGCAAGATCTACTCCTTCCCCCCTCTGTCTCTTTCTGAGAATAGAGTAATCGTACCGGTTCGGGCAGCACGTTTTTTTTTTGCTGTCGGGCACTGGAGTACAAAAAGATCGTTTAAAACTTTGTTTTCAAATCTAGCCCCGAAAGAGTGGCACACAAACCTAAAGCAACCTCCCTTACTTTCTTTGAAACAACAGTTACGGCGATATTTTGCTAAGAATAGTCCTTAAGACAGCTTTTTCTTCATCGACTGAGCATAACAGCGCGAAGCTCTTTCCCCGGAAGAGTTAACATTGGTTGTGGATGAAGGAGCCTGTGACCTAGATTCTACGTTTTGGTAGACTCTGAAGGCTGGAGAGTTATTTGCATCATGAGGCCCTGTCAAGGATGAAAGAGAATTTGCCGTTTAGTCTCGCCGTTTTTGCCCAAAGTGGGGGTGCCCGGATTGTAACATAAAATCCGTAGTTTCTCATCCTTCGGGCACATAGATAATATAGAGCCAATGGTTATATAACAAAGAATAAAGAATTTACACATGTGCATAATTTAAATAATAGTAGAGTCAGATACAGCATATTAACTCAGTCAGACACCAGTGTAATAGAGTCAGATACCAGTGTGTAATACAGTCGGATATCAGTGTAGCAGAGTCAGATACCAGTGTAGTTAAGTGAGCCAGATGCCAGTGAAGTAGAGTCAGATACCACGTAGTAGAGTGGGTCAGATACATACTCATTAAAATGGCTATAAATGGGGAATACCACTTTAGACAAACTATCATTGTCCAAGTGTTGAAAACAAACATTAAAAATCATGTTATTAAGCTTGCAAAGAAACAAATGTGATAATAATTGAAAATGACCGAATGTCAAAATACTGCCCGAATCCATGAGAAAACCAAAAAAATGTGACTGAACACGTAAATAAATCGGGCGTCACTTTTGCACCCAGTAAGGGCCTCAAATATGAGAACAAGCTGAAACAGGTCATTCCTAGGGTCATCCAATCACAGGGCTTCCTGTAGCTGGTTTCGGTTTGTCTCTAGGGCAAGGCAGATAGGAGATTTAAAGCTTTAAAGTCAACGTGCCTGTTTTCGTCCTAATTTTGACCGAACCGGTAATTTTACTCTACTGTCTATCGGTGTGGACGATCAAATTGACCAAAACGAAGTTAAAAATTATGTGAAAAAACAAAACTAAATTAATTTGGTTGTCTGCAAAGATGCTACGGCTATTTAACTTTCCGAATCGAGCCGAACTACGCGGGTCGCCATTTTGTTTTGCCCGGAAGTTCTCGCGCTACTCCTCTCTCTCTCTCTTTCTCTCTCTCCACTGCCCACAGCAAAATTGCACACTTTTAGGCTAACACTAACTAGTAGTAATAGATCTAGAACGTTTGTTCACAACACAGAGTTCTATAATTCTGTTATCACAGTGTAGAATTCTGTGGTTCAGGGTGAACGCTTCACTGGTTGGCCTAGGCTATAACGGTGAACGCGCACCGGGTGAGAATAGCCAAAAGACTCGCCTGCACTATTCTCATCCTGGGTGAGAATAGAGGTGGCCCTAGCACAAACACACACAGAACAGCACAGAGGATAGGCCTAACTTATAATTGTGTGTGTGTGCGAGAGGGAGAGAGAGAAAGAGTGCATGTCTTCGTGTGTGCGCATGCTCGCAGAACGAGGGAGAGGGGGCGGCGGGGAAAGAGAAGGACAGGGGGAGAGAGAGAGATAGGGGCCTAGTAGATAGACAGAGAATTCGTTACAAGTTATTAAAAATCTGGGTCCCGTCTGTTTAGACTTGGCATCATGCACACAGAGTAGGCCACCTGGATATCGATACTGATTTAAATAGGCCTATTGGGTTCGGAGTGTCTTCGTACACGGTAACCGGGCACCTAGTCTCACCTAGTAGGGCCTAGTCTCAGTATCTACGTACACTGTAACTGGGCACCTAGTCTCAGTATCTACGTACACGGTAACCGGGCACCTAGTCTCAGTATCTATGTACACGATAATCAGAATGAAAATAAATTTAATCAATATTTGTCCTGTGCTGTCACTTTCTGGGAAAAAAGAGTCATACAAGCGTCTTGTTGCGCTCACCATCGTGACCAGTCAGTGAACCTGTGTGTGTGCATCACATTGTGAGTACTGGTTGGGGTCACCAAAGTTCATTCAAAGTCTGTGTGCTGCGAAGTAGAGGGCTCCGGAATGGGGGAGATTATTGATTTTTTTTAGTGCCCTATTCAGTACGAACAGCTGCTGGAGGCTATTCGTACTCAAATGCCAGTGCGCGTGCGCAATCACCGATTTGCGGTACAACCGGTACAAACTAAGGTAGGCTAGGCCTAATACACTGCGTTTCACGTAGATATTGAGGCTACATGCCCAGTTACCATGTACGTAGACATTGAGGCTAGGTGCCCAGTTACAGTGTACGTAGACACTCCGTATTCGGTATCGATGTTTTATCAGCAGATCTAGCCTACGCATAATGAGCACTAAAATTTGGAATAACATAATCGAGAAGTAGAATGGCTGTTTGACACAACGATACCAAGATAGTTGTCTTGTGTTCTTTCATAAAGGCGGGAGCAGTATCGGTTACTTTTGCGGCACTACACAAACCTGTTGGAAGTTGCCCCAACCTATCCAATGCACCCACACAGATGCACTGATTTGAAGGCTAAACTGCCATACTTTTTGCTGCAGAACACACATATGGCCACTAAAACCCCTGCAAATCAATTGTTTTAAAGTAAATGTCAGATCAATTAAATTGCCAGAACATCAATTGTGAAATGCAGGGGGCCCTGAAACCCCCCGGATTCTTTTAGGTCAGGGGGGGGGCATGCCGGCGCTTTTTCAGTCCCACCCCCCTTATTTGGGCCTAGATAGAGATCTTTAATATGTTTGATGCGGGATGATGGAGAGATATCAAACCTAACAACTACAACCCCCCCCCACACCATATTTATTAGGCCTAGATCTAGGTCAGCGGGGCAAGCCCCCCTGAAACCCCCCTACTCTTGGGGTCATAATCGGCGAATAATAATTGGGGGATGGAAACTACCGAAAAAACCCGGCATGCCTCCCTGAAACCCCCCATGTTGTTAAAAACAAGTCAAATTATTACTTCGCCATTGGTTGCACTGTACGAGTAATATAGGTCTATTTCTGTTTTCAAACATCAATAACTATTGATTTGCGGCAAAACTGTAGGCCATATATTCGTGTTCAGCATGCAAAATACTACTAGAAAAAAAGTATATGAAACGTGTACATAAGACGAGTGCATGAGAGTTAAAAAAATTTTTTTAAACCTTCTTTTATCTGTTCTCAGTTTCCGCCTTCACCCTAAGCCTAGTTTCTGTTTCACACTGAGGAAGCAGACGACTAGATTTAGATTCTAGATCTATGGAATATCGTCCTCACAATAATCATCATGTTGAAGGGTGCAAAATTTTATTCATCCTGTAGGAATTTCAACAGAAGTAGAAAGAATTTGAGGACGAACACAAATGTTCTTCCGTGGTAAAAAATTCAACCAAATCTACGATACCTATGCCGAGAGAGATACCTATTCCGAATGCCTGCTTTTAAACAATTTTTTTTTTTACTATGCATTACATACAGATAAGAAATGGGACTCTGGGATTCATTACTAGCCTGCTTCAGCCAAAATCCAGTTATAACCAAAACTGTTGTAAGAGGGGCCCACTTTGTAATATATGTGAAGCCATCAGTGGCGGGGCGTGGTGAAGGGCTAAAGGGCTTGAGCCCCACCCACTCTCACCCCCACCCCCCAACTCTTTCCCTCCGTAAATGAATGTTTCTTCTAATAAACGAGATAATCAGTTGAAACAGTTAGAACTGTTTCAGAATCTTCTGCCTCCGCCTTTAGTTGCATGCAGTGAAAACATACGCTTGCTCATTTATTCAATCACTGTAGTCACCGCTTACAACAATAGTAACCTAACAGCCAATCAAATGTGTTAAGGGCTCAGCAAAGGATGAGTCCATTCCCACGGTCCTTTCTTAATGAAACTCTCTTTTTGAAAAAAGGTAAAAGAAACAAACGAGAGCCTGCGGAAACTGTTGTTAGAGAGGGCTTGTTCTCTGCCAGCCCAGACAATTGGGAAAAAGTTCATGACACCCTTTCCCCAGAGACCCAGTAACCAAAACACGCTCATGGGCCCTTGTTTTAGGAATGCCTTGCTTTCTGCGACCCCTCGACCTAATCCAGTTACTGTTGTGTGTGCGTTTGCATGTAAATTAATTAATTTTTTTGAAGTGTTTTACGGCGCTCGCAACTGTATAAGGTCATATGAGCATGTTTGTGTGTGAGTTTGTGGATGAAACATACTCACACATATCTGGAATATCCTCTGAACCGAGGAAATCTTACCTTTGAACTCTACCTACCCTGATTTCTCAGCCCCACCCACATTAAAAACCCCCCACCGCCACTGGAAGCCACTATTATCCATAGCATGTGCTTCTGTCTAACGCTCACTTCTCCAAGTCTGATGTTCCCAATGTTGAAAGAATAGCAGGAACCCATAGTATCGGTCAAATGGACACATTCAGCATGATTAAATCAGACGGGGCCGATTAATGGTGGCACCATTATCATTATGTCATATTAGTCTCAGTTTTGCCTCTTCAAATTTGACCTGAAAGTCCATGATTAGAGCTTCACATCCCCCTGTCATCATTGTCTTGTTCCAGTACTTTGGATTTTTTCCCCCCTGTTGTCTCCATATATAGACTGTGGGTTTCTAAAATAATGTGGGTTCTGTTTGTCAAAAACTTTACTCAAAGTAAACGTGTTTGTGCAGGTTCTGGTCTTGGCAAGGAGGAGCATGGCCGAGCAGATCCCATTAAAGTCACTCTGAAAATGGACAAAGCAGGGGTAAGTGATAGTTGATGATTTGCATCTCTTAAAACCTGAATATGATATGCACCAAAAATGTATAGTTGTTAACTACCCATGTATTTATATGCTAGTTGAATTGCACTTCAATTTTGTGATTTTGTCCTCAAAGTGCAAACATTTCATGATACTTCTTGGAGTTTCCGGTACCGTGAAACTCACATTATTCACTGATCTCAGACACACCAAAAGAAGGATTCCTCTGTTTTGTTTTTGTAGGTTATTTATTTATTTTTTTAAATATTTTTTTTTGGGGGGGGGGTGTCGTCCTTTAAATTAATAAAATATTTCATATCCACACAACATTTTATTGAGCTAACTAAGATTCACTGATGTCACTTACCCGGCAAATGCATCACCTACTAATATGGCTTTACTTTTGGCAGTGAACCATATCTCTACTCTGTTCCCAAAGACGGTCAGTCTCCCAGCTCAATAAACCAGTGCATTTATTGCGTGTCATGCACTACTTGAGGATTAACGGACATTAACTTTTCATTGCACCAAGCTCTCTGTCAACTTTTTGATGGACAATGATAATATAGGAGTAACCGTGGATCAAGAAACGCAAACTAATGAGAAAAGGAACACATGTGCTGTTGAAAAGGTCCATAACGGTCACTCAAGACCACAGAGAATTTACATTACTGCTGCAGAAAGGGTTTAAGTTATGGTCACTTACTAGGCCTGGCAAAGTTAACTGATGTTTTCATTTCATTTTCATGTCACAGTTGCTATCTATCATGTCATCATAAGAGCTTCTTTGCTTTGATGAGGACGGGTTGGCTGAAAATTTTGTTGCAAGCCACTGCTACAAGTAACAGGCTTTGAGGCTGACTTGTGACATAAATAACTGACCATGGCCATATTGGACAGGGACTACTTCAGATATTATGTTGAAAATGCAAGGGTGTCAGGGAACAGAGGCTGATAGTGCGGGTGACTTCTAAGGCTGGTTAAACTGTTCTTGAAAATATCATTATAAAGCAGTAGTTTTGGTGGTGTTCTCTCGCAAAGACAATAACAAAGATGGAATCTTGCCGCCCCCCCTAATACTTATCCCTTCCTGCCCCATGCACGTATATTTTCAACAGTGCCCCAAGAGAGTACTTTATCAGTTTCAGGGGATACTGAATTTGAGCAGTTTTCGAAGTTAGCGTACATAATTAAACTTTAATTTTCATAATATTTGTTCACTTTTTAGAATGCATGCCTCTTTTTCTGAAATACTGCTGTATTGGCAAGAGAGTGCACAAAAGTGGGTGGGCCTGACTGGAAGGGTTAACTGTTCAAATGCTATGTGAAGGGAAGCAACTGGATTATATAGTACCTGATGTATTGATTATGTGAGCTTCACTGTACTCAAACAGGATCTGTCAAGTTATCTGTAATATATTCATGAATTCCCACCCTTGTCCGCTTTTGTTTCATTCGATTATTTTATCAATGTGTAGAGGTAAATTTGTTTCATGTAAATGATGCTTTTCGTGTTGGTATTTTTTATTCCTGGATAGGTGGGACATGATCCTGGGAAAGAATTTACAGATCACTGGTGGATGAGAGCTTTCAATGATGCAGCAAAAAAGATTGGAACAAAAAAACAGGTGATCTTTCTTGGTGACTTTAGTTTTTGATCCCTGATACAGATCCAGTTAGCATTTGCTGTGGAATTATATTTTGACTGTGATCAGATCATGCTATTGTTTCTGCCAGACAATATTTGTAGCTTTTTGTTTTTAAAAACATAAAAATGATCATTGAGTGAGTTTCTTTTGTGTTGTTTCTGAAATGCAGGCTATTTAAGTGTCTACATTTAATCCAACATCAAAAATAAGATAAGGTGATACTTTATTGTCCAAGGGAAATTTTTCTTGGCTGTGCAGGAGCCATTAAAACACATGCAGGTGTACATAGAAGTTGAATTACATAGATCTACTTTCTCTAATTAAGATTCAATAGGAAGAGAAAAGTAAATGGGTATCATTTATAGTTTATTTCACTCTAATGATTATTTATGATTGATGATGTTGTAATTTATGTTCGGAGTTCATGTTTTTTTCTCAGGCTGATCCATCAGAAAGTGCTGAAACAAAGAAAGAAAAAGAGACATCAGACAGAAAAAAGAGGTTTTATGCTCAATTTGTAAAGGTAAGTTTGTGTAACCAATAGACTGTCTATTCACAAGTTTATGAATTACTGTCATCACCGTAAGCAAAAGGTCATACTGCTAGAGATGACTTTGGTCATTTTGAAGACAAAGCACTTAGAGCCCTTATTTTTTTTAACGCTGTACTGAAAGGAAAGATTCCACAAAAAATGGGACAAATTTGTTTCTGATCCAACAGAAACTTGAACCTCGACCTCCATATGTCTGCCACAGGGGGAGACATGACTGAGGCATCTGTATCTCTGCCAATGTTCCACGCCCAGCTTGTGCCTAGGCCCCCAGCCCATCAGACACATGTACTAACAGACATATGTGTGCTGGCCGCCTGTTTGGCCTCTCCCAATGCCAGCTCATAATAAGACACATCTCATCAACGCATGTGTTGGTGTGAAAGAAGATTTCTGATTGGTCGCATGAGATGTATACAATAGTCAAGGCTAAGTGCTAAGTGTATAACGATCTACGGTGCAGGTGCGATTGATGGTCTTCACCCCAATTTGTTACGCAGGCTGAACTAAATTGGTGCTGTCACAATGCAATGGCGCCTTACGACAGGGGCGGGGGAATTTACAGAGATACAAAGCTATATATTTTGGACTGGTAAAGGGGAGGAGCCATGGGATTGGTATATATCTTGAGACTCACAATTAGATGAGTGAAAATTGCATGCCTCATGCTATTGTGATTGGTCATCAAGGTTAACCACTCTTTGCTCACCATAAGTCATATACCCACCCAGGGTCAGTTCATTTCAGAGTAAGGTGAGACCATTTGACTGATTGTCACCATAGAATATCCCCTCATTGCGTCGGCTAAGATCCTATTGGCCTACGATCCCGCATTGTCTTTGCTCTTAAGCACCAGGATCTTGGGCGGAGTGTACTAATTGCGATCATAGTAGATTGAGGCAGGTGTGCTTTTAACATGTACTTCTTTAATCTGAATTGTGCACAAAAGACTAAAGCAACAAATGGGTGAGTGAAAGTATCATTATCATTGAAACAAAAAGCCTTCTGATTTGTCCAATTGAATTCTGTCTTACCTTTGTTTTTATCACTGAGTGTTAGTCTGTTAGGTTACTAGGTTGTAATTTTGTTTTATTTAAAACTTTTTTGTTTCTTTCAGAGTTCAGTTTTGGCTAATGGTGTGGAAGAGAAGGATGAAGATGCAGAATCTAGCAGCGAAGATGAGGATTCCACTCCGCAGGAGAGGTACACAGTTTATAATTATTTTAACTGGGGTCTCTGACTCTGGTGTATACAGCATTTGAAAGTTTACCAGTGTATTAAAAACACAGCATGCTTTTCTTTAACTGTTCAGTATTTTGTCCTACTTATTTTCCACCTCAGAGGACCTCTACTTGTGGCATGATGGTCAAAGTTACTGTCTGGAATACCTTTCGGAATTATCTAAGAAGCCAGATTTTTTTATCCGCTCCGGCTGCATGCACAGCTTTTCTTTGGAAGACACTGAAGATTCAGATGCAGAAAGAAATAAGTACAAAGATAACATTTAGAAGTTTGAAAATGCATACAGTTGAACCTGATCATGACGATCACAGTATTCTTTTGAAAATAAGTACTCTTTTCCTTCCATCTTAAAAAAAGTATCGTCAGTAAACCTCTTGCGGAACCTGCTCTTGACTGCCAGTATTTCAACCACAAAATCTAATTCATAGACTGGTTCTTACTGGGTTTGCCCAGTTTTGTAGGTTTGTGGATGCTAGTTTGCTGAGCTTATTTTAAAAGTTTGTCAAGCCAAGTTCTTGGTGTGGGGGTGGGGGTTGGTTATTTTTTTAAAAATAAAAAATTTTGTGCTGGATTAAATGAACATCTGTTTACTGCATCAGTCATTTCAGTCTGACCCTGTGCCTTGGCGGATCACAGAAGTTTGTCTCTGACCTGGGACTAGTGATGTAGAGAACAGAACAATGACTAGCCTTACTATGGATGTTTTAAACTTTCACTTTTTGATTTCGTACAACAGTTATTAAATGTCTTAATTTACTGTCTTTGTGGAGACTACTTAATTGCAGAGGGAGTCAGCACTATGTTGCAGCTTGGTGGAATCCAGCACTCATCAAAATAATGAAGTTGAAGAAACCGACATTTGTCTGCCTGTAGGGCGATTTTTATCATCATATTTCTTGTTTTGTTAGCTCAGCATCTTTTATGTCGAGTTAAGAACACATTTCTGTATGGATTTTATCAAACTTTGGCAGCCGTTTTGTCGCTGATTTAACCTCTGTCACCAAATGACCCCCACTTCCTTCACTCACAAATATTTCCACTTCTTTGAAAGATAGATGGGAATTTTTTGGACCAAAAGCAAGACAAATGAATAGAGTTTTAAGATGCAACCAATAACACCATATTCCCAAAAATTGACAAGCACCTGATTTCACCGAGGCGTTACACATACTGGATTTCCTCTGCTGCCTTTTTATCTAATAAGAATGTCAAGTGTCAGTGATGTGTGTGAATTATTTCCTTTGCAAGTGTAATGGAATGTTTGGAAAATAGTCTATTACATCAAGTGTCTTATTGTGTTGTTTTTTTTTACATCCATAGACATCTGCTGCATTAAAAGTGTAAATTCTGTAAACAATGTACTTAAATCACAGCTAGTAATTTATTTATATATTTGGCTTTGTATTTCAGTTTGCCTACGCTAGATGACCTTCACAAGTTTTGTGGTGGAGCCACAGGACATAGGTATGGCATGTTCCTTTTGGTTTTGAATGTGTTAAGAATATTTACTGGATGGGCCAATACCTCTCAAATACACAACATGACATGTTTTGTTTGCATTTTTAATTCCATGTGATTATCAAAGGAATTTATCATTCTTTTTGTTACATTTTTTAATACGAATGTTATCATAAAAATTTAGCTGACATCTTTGCATTAAGAAGTGCTTCGTTTTTATTATTTCCATTTGTATAGTTGAATTTACAATATCACGTCCCCAGTGCTTTCTTATCGTATCTCCATTTTTTTAAAGAGTGAAAATGTCACTTCTTTTTCAGCTCACTCTTTGTTATGAAATGTTTTCGCTATTGATAAAAATGGAGATACGAAAAGAAAGCACTGAGGTTGCAATATTGTTTAAGAGATGTACTACTACCATACTCAAACTGAGGTGTGGGTCTAGATTCTTTCCCCAAACTGAGGTGTGGGTCTAGATTCTGTCCCCTTCACATGTACAGTCGAACTTGTCGAAAAGAGCCGCTGATTATGGAAACGAAAAGAAATCATCTTAGACAGACGGTCTTGGAAAGTACAGTAGGTGTCGCATTCAACGAGGTTGCTGGGACTGGCTTGTTGTCCTTGTTGGATCCGACCTCTCGTTGAACGTGAATAAGGCTAAAGAAAGGAAAGGAGACATGTTATTAAAATAATTATTATATTAAACGATGTAGTAATTAAAAGCACTTGTTCCCCTTAATGACGAAAATCTCAAACATCATCAGTGTGCGCGTCTTTGAGCTGTGTTCTGACCGTCATTTCTGCGTTTTAAAATATTTTTTCCTGAACACTTCTCGTGTGGAAACATACTCTCTCACATCTTAGCTTAGATCTACATAAAGTAAAGGCTGGAACTTGGAAGAAAATTTGGAAAAAAAATGAAGGTCTCGACCTAGACCTACCCATCCAGAGTTCATCCAGATTCACACAGCCTGCATCGCGTTCCCACCCACCCCCTCCCATCCCTTCGTTAGGCTAACCCTTGCCCATCCTTTTGGCTTTTAGGCCCATATTACGAGGCACACTAGATCTAACAATACAATGTGTTGGGAATCGAGGATTGGCCATGTGCTTCGCATGAGATGGAGAGAAAAGAGAAAAATTTTCTTCGCTTTTGGGGCCATTAATTGCTTTTATTTGGTTATCGCGACCTCGTTGAAAACGACTGCAGCCTGTTTGCAACCTCGTTGGAACTGACGTACATTTACAAAGAGATATAGAGGAAAAATCTGGGATTAAGGATTGCCTCGTTAGAGCCAACTTCTCGTTGAATGTGACACCCACTGTATTATTTATTATACATCCGGAAAAAACACAAGGGGGGAAGTGGGATGTGGTTGTTGGTACAAGTGTTTGTCTTGGACAAGAGGTCAGTAGAGCAGGTTTGATTGTATATATGGTATTATCCGCTTATATTGACATGCTTTGGGAAGTGGATTTGTGTCGATATATATAAAAATGTTGATAAATGAATATATAAAGCCAAAGAGGAAAAAACAAGGGGAGGTCAGTGGTAAAAAGACATTAGTGCATTTTGGCTGCTATTAACATAATCATTAACATCAATACAATTTGTATTATTCAGGTCAAATTCAACCCATAGACAGTCCAGACTAGTATGAGTTGTCTAGTCTTGATTGGACATGGTCTTCCAGATTATCCCTCAGTCCACATCCCTTTCCTTTCATTTATCTCTCTTCAGGGCAGCAATGTTTGGCTTCAAGATGAAAGGGAAACTGGGCAGAGTTGCAGCTCATGACCGAATGTTTGAGGAGAAATTGAAATCCGACAGTCAGTCTTTGGTCGTTGGTTCTATTGATACAAAGCTTGATGAAACTGAAAGGGATAGCCCTAGTACTGACAAAAAGAAAAAGCGTAAGAAAAGCAAAAATAGGGTGTCCTCAGATGCTGAGGTAGGCTCATCCAAAGTGAATGATGAGAATGTTGACATAGCGGATGATGTTTCGAATGTGAAAACAAAGAAGAAGAGAAGAAAACGAGATCAAGAAGAAAGCTCTTCAAATGAGGCTGCTGTCAAAGGCAAAGAAAACAGGAACAGCTGTGATGATGCTCCAAGGCCTGATGTAGAAAAAAAAGAGACATGCTTGTCTGCGGAGACTATTGTGTGTGCAGATGAATCCGGCTCTAAAACAAAGAGAAAAAAGAAAAGCAAATCAGTAGCGGAGGACCTGCCTGTGACAAATGTCGAGCAGACAGATGATAGTCAGATGAAAGAGAAGACAAAAAAGAAGAAAAGGAAAAATGAAACTATAGAAATAGATGATGAAAGCGCACCTGCCAAGAGTGAGGTGGGGGACCGTCTGAATTCCTCCCAAGATGGCAACTCCTTGGAGGGAGCAGGAAAAAGGACAACAGATGATTGCCCCTTGAGTCTGGAACAGCCAAGTGAAGATCAGATGAAAATCAAGAAGAAGAAGAAGAAAAGGAAACATGAGACAGCAGAAGTAGATGATGAAAGTACACTTGACAAGGGAGAAGTGGAAGGTAGTGTAAATTCTTCATCAAATAGTAGTAAAGTGAGCAAGAAAAAGAAGAAAAAAAAAGAAAAAGAATGATTTGTCAACTGTTTTCATCATGGAATGATTTGTAAATAAAAATACCATATATATATTTATATATATATATATATAAAGACTTATTTGTTTGCTCTTCTTTTGACTTTTTTTTTTTTAAATAGTAGAGGGTTTTATGGCTCTCGCAACTGCATAAGGTCATATGAGCGCCAAGGGGTGGGTGTCGACAGAGGTCTTTACAGGGAATCAGACTTAGACTGCTCTCCTCTCTAGCTTCAACAGCACAAGGTCTGCTTCGACTATCAAGGCACCCCAAAATAGCAGGTCACAAGAGAGTGACCAACATAGAAGTAGAGGAAAATGACAATAGTAAGGATCAGGAAAGAAAAGGCAGCAGCTCCCTGTTGTAGATCAGGCACAGTTATGAGCGTGACATGAGTCAGCCCATTTACAATTATTATTCTACTGTGCTTGAACGAGAAATGTCCATCCTTTGGGAATGGCCTAAAGACACTTCAGTCAGTGGCACTGCCCCGGGGGGTACTTACTTGTTTGCTTTTCTTTTGACTTTGTATACAGATAATAGAGAGATACCTGTTACATTGTATGGCGTGGTCTGAATCAGAATTATTTAGATTGTTTCTTTAAGTTGACTCACACTTGACCTTGGGTAATGGAGGCCCACCCAAATGTGGTACAGAGTTCTACACACATATAGGCTACTGGCTCTGAACACGACTTCAGCATTCACTCTACTCTGCCTCCAACTGGAAATAATCCTGTTCCCACGTATGGTGTTCCTAGATTGCCTTCCACGTGCAAAACCCACCACTGAAAAAAATGAAATGGATTTAAGTTTAATGCCCCTATCAACACAATTAGGTTACATGTATTTAATTTAAGAGGTGGACCCACCACTGGCCAAGCTGCACAGTGTAAATTTGTACATTTCATCCCCGGGCTGTCTAGATGTCCACATGTACCCATATGCAGAGGTCTGCGAAAATTGAGCGGAGCGATTTCATTTTATCTTGTCAGACGAAGGTGAACAAGCTAAATGTAGTGATATTGAAAGGTGCATCTTTCACTTTGATTTTGATAGAGCTTTGGGAGGGTGTTAAAACGGAAAACTCTCAAAATTTGGACTTAAATGGATTGCTTTTGACAGATACTATGTGAGGCAGCGTGGTGAAGTCGCTCGTCAAAATAATGAAACTGAAGAAACTGGCATTTTTCTGCCAGTTTTGCATTTTATCAAATTTTTATTTTTCGGCTTAGATCTAATTAATACCGCTGTGGTCCAGTTAAGAACACATTTCTGGGTGGGTTTTACTGAAAAATGATTAAAAGCACAACAAATGTAAGTTTTCAGTTTACGCAGACTATCAAGTTATGGAAATAACCAAACTTTGGCAGCCATTTTCTCGGCAATTCTATCTTTGAAACCAGGCGGCCTCACCTTCTTCGATCTCAAATATCTTGACTTCTCTTCAAGACAGATGGAAATTTTTTTCACCGATAGAAATGAAAGACAAATGAACAAGCTAAGATGATACCAATGACTCCAAATGCCCAAAAATTAACACTTGCCTGACTCCACATCCTGACACGTTTTTTTCTTTTGACTTATTTTAAGGGTGTCCTTTTCTCTCTCCAAACTGTTGCATGGTATGTTTGTATGATGGGACCTGCAATCAAATGCTATACTTGAAAGCAGTCGGTTGAATATTGCCCTGTGGGGATTCCAACCAGGGTTGAACACTCAAGTCCAGCATGATAGTCTACACCAACAGTACACCAGCACACTCTTGTGTTTACCATGTTGGTGTACACATGTGCATACAGTGTGTCTGCAGCAGGATGCATTAACTTTTTGTCCCCTAATCTTTATATCTCTCAAGAGGCATAAATCATAAAAGTACAAGGGTTGAGAATGTTGACTTGAGCTGATGGTAGTGGTAATATAGTGTTAGTGTTGGTATTGTTTGTTAGGCCTACTTTATATAAGTTACGTATGGTGCTGGCTTCAAACGCTAAATTATCGGATTTATATATTCATACACTTCATTAATTTTTTTTACTGTTTAATACTATCCCCCAATAACGGGGAAATGACTCAATGTCGTCAGTCACTTACACACTGGTGGACATGCACGCCAGGCATGAACAGACTGAACCGTCTCCTCTCCATAAAAAATCGTGTTGTTTCTGTTAAAAATATTTCAAAGAATAAACTACCCAAAAAATTAACATGAAACAAAAAACAACTCAAAAGTGCATTCTTTACGTTTTATAGAAACATGTAGGCTATATTACAATTACAATGTTCAGTTTTGCTGTGCGGTAGATCTTAGAAGACTTCGTAAAACACAGCACTCACTGAAAATACAATGGACAGACAGAAAAATGGATGAATCATGGAGGAACATTCAACTCGTTCATCTTGTAGTAAAACTACCGCACAAAATGAAACAACAATGGGACATTGGTCTGTGTTGTGTATACATTGTACCGGGTACTGCTTTTTTTTTCCCCTCTAAAAAACTGCAAATTAAGTAGGCCTACTACTGTACAGTACAGAGTATAACACGGATAGCTCAAATTCGTTGGGACCGGCCTTCGCAGTTCGACGGATACATGAACAGTGTTATGGCACTGGCTGTGTCAGAGAATCAAGGGAAACAACAAAGACTGTCGAAACAGATTTTTTTTCGGCCATTGTCCTAGATCAGATAGATGAGATCTATACATGTATCTATTGACTTGAATTTGAGCTTGATCGGTAATGAGCATACCTGTACCAAGACAGTTTAATTGCGCTGGTCAGTGTGAGCAGTCTTTAGTTTAATCTGTACCAATCGATCGGTGCCATTTCAAATTTTTCAAAACCAACACTTTGACAAAATAAGTATATAACTGATTACTGTTGCGAAATATATAATAATAATATATACTTTTCTTTGTCCAAGAAGGGCACTTTAGTTTACAATGGCACACATACATACATACATACATAAATATAAAGGCAGGTGCTAGTCGCCCGATCTCGGGTGACTGGCTAGCGTTTTGCTACTCGACTCGACCACCTGACGCTAGTGGCCCGCAGGGATTTCTGCGACCTCGTGTGGCTAGCATTTTTCTGCCCACCCGGAGCCGGTCACCTAGATCTAGTCTTAGTCTTAGGTAACGTGAAAACAGCCTCGCGGCCTTCCGAGCGACATGAAGCTATTGAGAGCATCAGCACACCTCTGTGATTGGCCCCAAATAGATCACAGATGATGATTTTCCATCATCTATTTTTGTTGTCTTCCGAGGTTTCCCTCGCGAGTTGACCAGATCCCCTAGATCTATCACTATCACCCTTTATATTTTAATTATCATTCATCGGAACAATAGAATAAGGATTGTTTAACTACTTACCAAGATGTTTCAACTGCCCTATCTCACGTCCAAACGAGACTTGGGCGCTAGATCTACCTCGTCTTACTCTTAGCGTGTGACGGCCCGTGATACGAGTGTAAAATTGTAAACAAACGTTCCAGCACTGATTTAAAAGCGAGAAATATTGTCTGCGGGCAGAGAGAGGAAGAGAGAGAGAAAGGGGGGGTCTTTTGGTTATTAGAATTACTGATTCCTGTTGTTTCCTCTCTGTTTCCGTTCACAAGCTGACCCGGTGCAATACAGTCATTATATTATGTTATTATATTATAATTATAATAAAGTCAATTAGGTCAGATCATTGCTATCTGAGTCAAACTGACAAGACTATTAGATCTATATGAGCCTTTCCTAAAAGTTCATCTTTCTGAGGTACTGTTCTCTTAGTAGATGTACTCGGGGAGAAAAAGAATAATCCAATCATATATGGTGTCGATAGATCCAGTGAATGTCACTGATGAACTGGGAGAAAAGTTAGGTAGATGGGGAAAGTCGTAAAAAAAATAAAAAATTTTTCAATAATATAATTCAGTTACCACCATGTTGACCGATCCGACTCTTGACATGGAGGAAAAGGAGTGACTGAATCTTGCGTGATTGATGACGCGTTTTAACGGAGCATGCGCAGAAATCCCCACGGGCCAGAACACGGAACACGCGCAGAAATCCCAAAAGGCCAGAAGCCACAGGCTAATCAACCGAATTTGTTCAAGTAGCAAAAAAATAGCCACCCCAGATCGGGCGACTAGCCACTCCGAATTATAAATACGTACATACATAAATATATGCATAAATACACAATATTACACAAAAACAGAACAGTTTACAACCATGCCACTGTGCAGCGCCCTGTATTTTGAGCTAGGGTTGTCGTGTCTTGCTCAAGGACACACTCCAGTGATCACCCATCTGATCCACGTGTCACACTTCCTTGCCATTACTTGAGTCTAAACTCACTACTCACTTTGCCACTAGAGCCCCCTAATATATCGCAACAGTAATCAACAACGTGATGACAAAACAATGCAGCCCTACCCCGCCTCTCCCACCAAGGGAACAGTCCTTTGCAAAGTCAAAGAGGGGCGGGGTGGCCGATCATGTGATGCACAACCTCTCCTCTCACCCGCTCCACACAGCCTAGCCAAGCCTATGACCTAAGCATGCGCAGAGGGCACGTGTGTTGAGTAACACGCTAAAAATAGCACAGCTAGCTTCTTCTGAGGAGGGGGTTGGTATTTTACCACCGTTTTTGTTATTATAGTCATTATATTGTCTCAAGTGCCCCTCAAAAGACAAAAGAAATTGACTTTAGACCTCTATGGCGGCATAATTAGTTTGACTATTCCGTGTGTGTGTTCGAGCTTCGCATGATTTTCTTATAAAGATAAAGAAGAAACACGGATGCGTAATTTCGAGTAATCTGTGTTCGACCTATCCAGGTTATACTGTACATGGTAACAGCCCATTAAAATTAAAGAGACTAGTAGCCTTGATGAGTACTGCAAAAAACCCTTAAAACTGAAAAGTTTAAGCATGGGATAGGTAATATACCTGTACGGTACTTTGTTTCAAGAGCCATAATTTTAAAAGGCCTACTTATGCCTGTGATCCTGTCCATGCAATAGGCTAAAAATAAAAACAACTTGAACATATAAAGCCTGATATAATTATATCATGAGTATTCAACTCCATTGCTAGGATTATAAAAGACAAGCCTGCAATGTAAATTGCTGCACTAAAACTAAAAATGATAGATTTGTATACAAAAGAGACTTGTAATTCATGTAATAAATATTGCTGACAAAGGTGCTGAATGAACCTTCAAAATAGGAGTAAACAGAGCATAAGGCATAAGGGGGGGGGGGGGGGGGAACCCTCCTGTTATTTGACTTATTTTTAAAATCTAGCATTACCATTATACTGTACACCATTATCTGAGTGAGGATAATTTGGACTGATAAATAGACCTAACACTAATACTTATAATAATTAGTAATACAAATATAATAATGCAATGACACACACACATTAGTAATACAAATCACACTATGTACTTTATCCAAATAACTTTCAGTCAAATAAAATGTATCTAAGTCTAAGTCACATAAGTGCAATTCATGTAAAACATTGACTTCAAAGTTGTGCTTTGAAAAAAAAAGGACATTTACTGCATAATTCATGTAAAAGCAAATTATCTTCAAAACCCTGTTTTTCTGATAAAAGAGACAAATTAATTGACTAGTAGTAGTAATAATGGTTCTTGCTTTATTGGCCTTGATGTACAGAGCCTGGCCTGGATCCTCTGCAGATCTGGCACAGGGGGACAATGCTTAGCAATGGACTAGTAGTGGATAAGATTACCCAATAGTAGGTTGCTGCAGAGTGAACATTTTCTCTTCTAATACATATATATATATATATATATATATATATATATATATATATACTAAACTAAAATACATTAAAGGAGCAAGTACTGTGTAGCAGTAGAAATGCTAGTATCGAAAAACAAGAAAAAGCTAAACTAAAATAGGAACAAAGTGCCATAAACTCATAAAGGTAGGCCTATACTATTTATACCTCACATGTTAAAAATCTAAGCGAAGGTAAGAAAGAATCCTCCAATAATACAAGCGCTATATCCACATGCCTGTAAACTGACAAAGGCAATCCCTGAAATGATCTTTTGGTTCACGTTCGACTTTAGACTTTAGTGAGCCAGACACCCGCAGGAATTCATGGGCTGCTCAGGAGATAGATAGCCTCAACACTCTTGAAAACATGAAACTAAGTCACCGTTATCAACTTTCAAAACAACACACACGTAAAGGCCTTGTTCCATGGTACGTATTTTGCAGCCGTAGTACTATTACGTACCTAAATTTCGAGTAAAGTGCGTACGAGAATAGATCCCTCACTATTTCTCGCAACCGGTTCGATGGGATATGTTATTTATTGTAATACATACGTAGTAAACACATAACGTGTACATATATGTTCTTTTTAAAACACAGGTCACAATGCGAATTCTGGCGAGAAGACATACGTTAATGTAGTTTGGCACGAGCGCTCTCACCCGCCCCTCCCACCATGTAGCCTACCAGCAGTGACCCTTGTGATAAGACTGGCTAACACACAAAACATCAATTTTTTGTTTGTTTATTTGACGAATTGAAGCATCCATTTTTAATGCTCAGTGATAAACTGGTCTGAATTTTGACTAGAAATGCTCCTGAAGCCATACAAGTCACCCGCCACAAAGTTGTTGTTTGGTGAATCCAAATAAGTTTTTTACTTCTCTAGTAAAATTTACTCTGCTGGGGTAAACCCGCCTTACCACAACGACATTTATATTCTATTCATTCATTGTATACGAAAGAGCTGTTAAAGCAAACACATCCAAAAACCTCTGAGTCTATACATGTTAACACATTGCACCCTAACTCGCCCGGGAATTCCCTTACGCGCTCCACCCTGACCTGCCCGGAATCGCCCGCGCCGACCCAGTGTCTTTAGAAACGAAGTCTCGCCTTGACGAGACTCTGGGGCCGAGATTTTGATTTGCATAGTTATAGCAAAAAGTTTCTTCTTTCGTTTGATACCGAAATGAAATTTTTCGGGCCAGTAGTTTTAGTATTAGAGCTGATCGAAGTGCGATCGCGTTACCGACACTTCGAAAGTGTCCCGACTTGTTGAAAAGCGACACAATTGAGTTAGAAAACGGAAATAACTATGGATTTGAGCAAAAACAAGCATGTGACAAATCAGATGGCTCAGATTTTGATGAAAACGTTGTAGCAAGAGTTTGGGGCGATTCAGATTGATCAGAGGTAGAAAATCTAGAATTTAGATCTAGGGCCGGACCGCGAGGCTGAGAGTGAGTGACGGGTCGGACACTCCGATTGAACTAAAGTTAGAACATTTCCAACAATTTGCGCATTCATAAAGTAATATTTTTCTGAAACTACATTCAGTTTTCTTTTTAACTTTTATTTTTTCGGGACTTTTGGTATTTGTTTAATATTTTTAAAATGTGTTTTTTAAACGCTTGTACTCACGGGAGGTGGGTTCTTTCCCCTTGCTTAGGACCTAACAATGGACTTCCCGTCCAGGCCCTTAGGGTGTAATGTGTTAGGTTATTTTTTGACAAAAATTTTAAAACAAAACCAAAACAATCTCAGGAGCAAGCAACAAAACATGACTTGTCTAAACAATACATCAACAGCAAGAAATAATATTACAATTCTTAACAAAGTGGGTACATGCGATCTGTTCGATTGTAAAATTTGCATCCCTTCTGAGTTTCTCAAACATGAATTTCAACACAGGCCTACACAGCGCAAAGAAATCAATTAACAGTTTATACAGTTTACACAGTTGTAGGCTTCACATAAAACAAAAGGTAGTCGTAATCTTTTTATTTAATGCTAAAGTTGGACACGGCTATGTCGTAGATTATATCTGCACTGGGGCGATCTCTCCTCTAACAATGACCTCCCACTGAGGCAATGTTTCCTTCTCGTTTTACCTGAATGTCTCTTTTGAAAAGCACTCTGTCCATGAAGGAAAGCAGGAAATTTTCTCTCCAACAACGTCTCACTCGGCCTGAGTGACCCTTGCAACCTTTGAGGATATGGCACGTAACCATTATACAGGCAGCAGTCATCTCTTCCATAGCTCAAAGAACGGCTTACACAAATTTTTGAAGGAGCAAGCCCTTTTTTTCTTGTGCTTGAAAACTCATTACATAAACAGTTTTCACATCCAGAAGAGTCAATACATTTCAAATGGGAACGTGATAGAGGTAACGACACCACTGGACTTTGTGCATTTGTGGGCCTGAAAAAAAAAAAAATTAAAAGAATAAAGATGAAAGGTTCATGATTTAATTGTCAAATAATTTTCTAACCTAATCGACACCCATCACTGCACAGCATGGAGGTTTAAGTTTATTGAAAGAAAAGCATAACCAAGCAAGGTTACTAAGATGGTCCAGGAGATGTTCAATTGCAGTTGCAGTACAAAAAAACTGACTTAACCCTAGAAGCGCTCAGCGTTTCACCGGAAGTAACCCGCCAAAAATGCCTCGCCGCCACGGCGATCAGTTGTAAACATGGGGGTTTGGCGGGGGGGAAACAGCTGAGATACCCGAAATGTATACCTGCTACTGAAAAATGACCATTTACGGCTCAACGGATGATAAAAAGCATAAAAGCATATATTTTCTTTAAGCTGATAGAATGAGCCATTCAAAGATGATCAGCGATTAAATAAATACAAACAAAGCCGAGAACGCGATAGACTCAACAATTAGTACATCAGCAGGGCGAAACAAGTGATAACACATAGCGTGTAGTCGCTCAGCAGGACCGCGTCACTTTATCGATCGATATCTCGGCCAAGAGACGCTCTACGAGGTCAAGATAACTTGCAAAGTCATTGGTCACTATTTATAACTTTGGCCTGTAATTGACTACGTCATTTTCCATATAAGGAACACTGGATTTTTCCATTGAAAAGGGTCAGCGTCTATGCCCTTTATATAGGGCCTGCGCGCTTCCCGGTCGAAGTAGGTCAGCCTTATATATAGGGCCTGCGCGCTTCCCGGGTAGCCCGGCTCACGCCCTTTATATAGGGCCTGCGCGCTTCCAGGGTTAAGATGAATGTCAATATCACAAAGGCTCTCTGCTGTGCACTGCAAGTCAAGCTCATATACAGCTTTGATACTCAAACAAAAAAGATAATTTCAGGAAAATTCAGTAACTACTGAAATATATAAAAAAGCTCTGACTAGTCAAAAGCTCTTCTTATTATATATATATACAAAATTTCTTCCCTCATGTCCTGAACTGATGATCACTGTAAACAAAGAATTCAAATAATGTTCCATAATGAAAGCTCAGATCACACAGGATCCTGTGATGCTGAGAGCAAGTAATGAGTTCCTTACCAAACTATCTCACCACACTTTAATGAAACGTGCACCTAGGATGGAACCCCCCTCCCCCCCCCCCCAAAAAAAAAGAATGGATTAAACGTGTTTAATTAACAAGGAGACGGCATGGCTCCAAATCCAAATTCGAATAGCCTACTACCCAGAGCACACAGCTAATCGAATTCATTTGATCTGGGTCTGCCAGATAGTCCCGGCACTATACGTTTCAATTGGCAACCTTCAAAAACAAACGTGTTTGTCACTGTCGAATTTAGTTGAATCAGCCGCATTGTGCCAAAATTGTAACTTTTGCCCTATCAATCAAGAAAAATGTAGCTGGCTCCGACTCCATTTTAAATGAATTCGACTGGCAGTGTGCACAAGGTATAAAATATAGATAATCATGTCCTTTTTTCGTTTGTTTTGATACAGGTTTTACGGCGCTCACAACTGCATAAGGTCATGTGAGCGCCAGAAGATTAGAGGTGTTACAACAGAGTAACAAACATAAAAAAGAAGGAGGGGAGATAAGGACAATAGATGTTTGATAGGAAAGAAGAAGCAAACCACACCAGAGCACCCGCCAACCACCCACTAATAATCATGTCCTCCAAACTATAACTATAAGGAAGTATTAACAAAACTAGATAGTCTCAGACTTTCAATTGACCTTTTGGGTAAATAAATAATTACTCTTCCTTTCCCTTGCTTTGGCATTGAATAAAGCTCATGCACAATCCATCCATCTATCCTTTTATCAATATCAGTTACTTTCCATGAAGATATTGATTTGTTCTATTTTTCAACCATTATACCATCAGCTACCTCTGTTGATTTTCTCCAATACTTTATTTTTCAATATATCAAAGTTTACTCAAATTACGGATGTGTCCAACACTTTTGTCAACCCCTGACGTGTTCGGGGTATCCGTGCTCAACTATACAGATAAAAAGTAGCAATTTGACAAAGCTGATTGAACAACTGAAGAGCGCATAAACAACAGAAGAATATTCCACTTACATATCTCTAAACACTTGTCGATGCTTTGTTGGGGCTGCCTTATCAACACTTTGACAATAGCCTCTACCCTGAGACTGGTACAATCTGTTTGAATTCCTCCTTGGCCTTTGACGAAGGCGACACTGAAAAAATAATAATGGATGGATATATATGAGTATTAACACTGCATAAAACACACGAAAAAACATCGACATACTCACGGCTGCTCACTCACCAGCATATGTTCGTAATAAACTAAGAAAAAATTAGTAATCTGGCTTAATACGAGTTCAGAAAAAAGGGGGGAGGGGGCGGGACTTACTTCTTGAAAAAAAAATGAAGGAAAACTTTGGAAGTACAGAAAATATTATAAATAGGCCTTTGATCCTGATTGTGCATCACAACACACCATCGTGACCATGCCACGCACCCACCGAAGCTAATTGTTCCAAGTTTCACACAATGGTTCTTTTTTCTCCCTAGGTTGTCACCCACATCACAAAAGGGCAAACATTTTCTAACACTTTGTCAACCTAATGTTTGCCTTACTCCTGGCTATTTCAAATACAAGGGTGTGGCCTTGTGATTCCATACCTCGGGAAAACTAGTGGATGGTATTTTAGTAGTGATCAATAAATTGCCTGTACATGTACATACGTCTGTTTCATGGCTTGGTTTCTCTAAGAAGCAGGAAAGCAGCTTCTTCAAAAAACCCTAGTATAAAAGAAGAATACTAAAATTACATTAAAAATTCACAGCTTATTTAAGATGACTTATTATAAAAATATGTAAAGGAACACTGAAACAATGTTGCCCATTTCTAGGCAGGCTGCTTGCAACCTACATAAGTCAATCCAGATAGGTAAAAAACATCCTAGTTTTAAAAAAACGATACACCCAGAATTTCTTTCTTGCATGGGAAATAAACTTCATATCTTTTGTACGCAAGGCAATGAGCAAAACTATAACACAAAAGACACTAGGATGAAATAACAAGAATTGAGATGACACACAATGTAAAAGCAAAAAAAACAAGCCCACTGTTCTAAATTAACTAGCAATGCCAATGAAAATTAAAATTTTCACTTTTGCCCCCCTTTTTTTGGTACCTAAGAAAGAATTTTCAATTCTAATAATTATGCTTCTTGAATTTTGAGAATCGGTTCATAAATAAAAAAAGTTATGGGGTTGTAAAGGTCGGCAAAATATGGATGACACACATATAGGAAAATACTCCTAAAAAGTGGACCACGCAGTAGCAGATTCTGTAAGAAAATCGACGATATCTCAGTAACTAATCCGAGTGTTCGAGAGAAACTTGGCTACCCGATGTGTTTTTGAGTGTAGAAATCATTTCTGCAGTCAGATTTACTACCAATTTCGTAGTTATTTTGTTATAATTAAAATTGTGGTGTACATATTACGATTTTGCGAAAAAGGGGTGTCGGGATGAGTCCATTTTATTTATAGCATCGTATCACAACATGGGATCTTTAAGAATATATGTCGGCAGCGTGACTAAATAATTGCAAAGCTTTTTATGATGACTTTAGACCATGCCAACCGTAAAAGATAAGTTAATTCAATCTAGCATGCCGTACAATTAAAAATTCTTTTCCCCCGTTGAGACGCGAACACCCCGAGACGAGATAACCTCGCCTCGGAATACCCCCATTGTGATGTTACAGGGGAATAGAGAGAAAAACAACCGGATGCGCGCGCCCGCCATTGCCCTATTTCAAGTGACCAATGAACGGGCCCGGAATAGTCATGCGGGGATTTGTAAGTCACATACATTTGCCACGAGAGTGAGGGGAAAATGGCCGGTCTCCGTGCGAAGCCACTTTGGATAGGGGGGTAGTCGTAGATTTACGATCGGGTCTAAACAACTACTTGACACAGAACTCTCAAATTTGAGCACACTATAGAGGATAGATAGATCTATTACCATCTGGGCGTTGAAATTCAAACTCCTTATAGTTTTCGGTGTACACGATACGAAAGTGTTCCCGACACCAAAAGTATAGGTTAATTTATGTGTACGAACTTCAACGTCCACATATCATTAGTTTGCCCTATTTTCTGATTGGTTGCCGAGTTTCATTCGGATTGGTTCTGAAATAGAGCAGACCGAGGTTGACAAAGTTAGTCACCTACGCTTCGGCCGGGTCCGCAAAATCGCCCGTAAACGGGGACCAAATTTTCGCCTCGCTCGAAAGCCCGATTGGCATTGCTAAATTAACAAATAATACAAGATATCACCCATCTTACCTTTACGGGAGTAACTCTTAGTTGATTTTCTTTCGGTATGTCATCACTGGCACAGCCTGTGTGGAAAATACATATAGAATACACTAACCATAAAGAATAACCATACCCATAATAGTTTCATGACTCCTCAAGGCTCTCCATATCGTCGCCTCAGAACTATTTTGTCCAAAGTATACTTAAATAAAGAGGGCACTTTGGACAAAACTGTTCTCAGGCGAAGATATATTTACAACTAAACCGACCTTGTGCAAAAAAGTTTTCAATACAATACGGACAAAAAAAACCAACCCCAGTGCTACCTGACATAATCATTTAGACGGTCATCATTTCTACATAAACATATGTACCATCACAAAGGCAGATTCATTTCTATCGTCCTTACATGAAGAAGGTAGAAACTTATATTTGAAGAAATGGGTTAGCCTCACATTGTTACCATCAGTAGACTGCTGTTAGCCATGTTTAAGCACTCAATCTATAAGTATAAATCATCAATTGTTCCTAGAACAAAAGCAGTGTTTAAAATTATATAAAATGCAAGCATTCAGTATGCAGTATGTTCTTTTTCTTTAAAAAACGAGCACAAAATCTTTCCAGAGGTTGGGGGTTGAGGCTGTCCGTGCATGAACACAACTTTATTTTCCCGCGCATCTCAAAAATGAAAACTCACCCAGTTCAAAAGCACATTGCAGGTAGTCAGCCTCATCTATTCTGACTCTCAAGCTGATCTTCTTGGCACCACAGGCTCTGAGCAAGGACTTTGTGATAAATCCTTCTTGGAAGGTACTTAACAATAGGCCAGACTTGTACTCTTCCCATAGACTGTGACACGCCAGCAACGACTTGCAGAGTATTGTGAAACGAATGCTGCCTGTTGATAGGTTTGTCAATTCTCCATGCTTGCATAATAATTTCAGAGTGTTCATGATTTCCAAGGAGTCCTTGAGGAGGGAAAAAGTAACATTGATGGATTAAAATACAATAATTTTGTCTAATTAGCCTAGTGCAACTAACATCAGTAAAACTATGGAACTCTTCAGCGGCACGTGTAACCAAAATACCTTATCGATTAGTGAGTAGAACTATACCCAAATAATAAAACCATAACTTCTGATTTAGGAAACAGTTACATCTCTAAATTAACCACTGCAGAGGAAAACAAAACAGCAGAATGCAGCAACATCATGTGTCTGCAATCTACAAGGAATTGAAAACCATACTAAATTAAGATTTTAATGAAGGCTGGAGACAAAAACAATCAAAGAAAAACTACAATTATGCATGTGATCAATAACCTCGATCTATTCAGCCAGACAAAAATTTTCTGCTAGCCACCCCGTTTTCATAAAGCACCTCTAAAAGAATGGGACTTGAAAAGATTCAGGAGTATCACGCAATTAAGACATACCATCTCCATTAGCTGTGTTGAAAAATCTGAAAAACCCCCACTACAGTACTCAGTACAAAAAAGCGCAATTGTGATGAGCCAAGCATGCATGAACAATGCCGCTCACCACCTAAACCAGACTGCGTGCTTAGCCATGGCCATTAATTTAAGTGTCTATCAAGTTTACACAAAGTGCTCCTACTTCTTCATCAATTCTGAAATTAACAAAGCATTCAATGAAACCCCTAAAATTAAGCTGTGATGCAATTGTAAAAAAAAAAAAAGAATAAAAATCCAATGTTTTGTAAAAATGGAAACTTCCAATAAATCAGACAGATCTTCATTTCTCAAATTATAGGCCTACTATCCTTTTGAAAGGTCAGAATTCCTGTAAATACGTTTTAAGTCTGCACAATTACAATACTAACCCGAATTATATCATTGGTCTGTTGAAGTTCTTTACGAAATTGTTCATGAGCAGAAGCACTTGTATCTCTTCGTCTTATATTTGCAAAAGCACCTGGAAAGAAAAAAGCATTCAAACCCCTTGTAAATGAAACAATTAAAATGGCAAAGAAACAAGAAAAGAATGAACAAAGACTATCAATCTAAGAAGGAACACTTCAGACAAAAACTGTCGATAAGAGATTCAAATAATATTCTAAAAGTGAAATAAGAATCAGAGCACCACCAGTGTGGACACAGGAAGAGACTACTGAATACCATTGGTGGAAACACAATGCTTGAACTCCAAAACAACTATGAAATCAGCTCATTTCTAAGAAGCCGGAAAATCCTTAATAGAGCAGCTCATCTACAGGAACAGACCTGCACACATACTATTGTACAGCGCATAGAGCTTGCTGTTGAGCGGGAATTTGCGCTATATAATTGCCATCTTTTACCTATTATTATTGTATGACACTGAGCAAAAGGATGAAGTCTCACAAGTCACTGGAGCAACATCAACATAGTACAGTCATACAAGCAAAGCAATTAAGCTGATTCAATTGATGAGTGTAAATCTATGAATTCAAGGCATTTCTTCAGATTGTTCTGCACCAGTTGTAATTTAAATGCAGATAAGATAACAATAACAGATCTACATATCATTCATGCTTTTTTCAGACAATGAGACAATTGCATACACAACACCATGACTATGAGACCTGCCAGAAGTGAACATGTCATTCAAAAAGTTGTGAGAGTCAGAATACCAACTTTTAGCTATTTTCAGTGTTTCACTTACAATAAAAATACATTTGATAAACAAAACTAATACACAACATGAGAATTCTCTATACAAATGCACAGCATCAGGCACAGCACAGACCATGCATAAGCATTCTTTTTTTTCCCCCAAGAAGACTGATCTACTTGTATTGGACACTGGTGGTAGAGTGACAGTACAATTTTTAGGACGGCCATGTCTGAAATTCAGTTGCACAAATGATCTCGGCACAAAAATGAATCTTCCGGCACAAAAATTAATCTTGTAAGTATGACTATACGACAATCATGACAGGAGAACAGAAGAAACTGGAACAAGCCTAAATGCTTATTATATAATTGAAAAAAAAACAAAAAAAACAACAAACAAACCTCTGGCCATTTGTAAAATCTGTTCCTCTACCTCATGGCATGTGCAGGTGTACTTCTTTTTGCTTGACGGGGTCACTTCTTGACAGTCCACGTTTACATTTACTTCACCTGAAGGAAACAAAATGACACAATAAACATAAAACTGCGGAAAATTGCTAAAACCTGATCAGGTTTGACTAGTTCCCAAAATATTTTGAAATGAGTGTTTGTCATGCACCATCTCAAGATGAGATTCAGTCAAGGATAAAATAGACACTAACATGATCTCGTTATCATTGGAAATCTCTAAATAATTTTGATATGGAGACACGACTTGTATTAATTTTTGGCCTCTAATCATGACTGTGATCTTCCATATATTCATGAATAAACTGATTTAGAGATATTTCCGATGGAAGAAAAGGATCTGAGACAACAGCACCTGAGGCTGACCAATTTCTCTTTAAGAAGTCAGCCTTAACCGTACTTAACACAGGTGTGACTTACAAGAATGCCCCTTTCACCTGAACATGGGAGACCAAAAAGTGCATACCGCCTCATTTTCACCAGTTGCTGAATGTTCACATCTCCACTTTTCTTACATTCCTGTTCCCTGTGACTTTCTTCACTATAACTTAGCTTAACTTGCTACAATTAAGTCCTCATCTAGGTCTAAATCAAGGATATGCCTATCACTTCACTAGAATATTTTTTTTTTTTAAAGTTAGAGACAATGTACCAGAATACTCATCAACTGTGAGTGGGTACAGACCTATCTTGTGACAATTCCCATGGACTGCACCGAGTGACGTAAACCACAGTAAAAGTAAAGAATGGTGAACACCAACAAGACAAATAAAAGATTTTTTTCAGAGCAAAGAACTTAACTTATACACAGGACAATTTATCGTTGTACACAGAGCAATTAATTGAGAAGAAAATAAGGCCACCTCGACCAGTCCAACACTCCAGTCGATCTCGCGTCAGTAAGCTAGTGCATCTTGCGTTACATCATTGCCCACACGTGGGAGAAAACGTGAGTGCACGACTCCGTCGGGGGGAAAGGTGAAGCAACCACCATAGAGGGACAAAGAGAGAGACCTAACCGTCAGACAGAGAAGAGTGTTATCGTAGCTAAGATGCAATGCGAAGAGCCCCATCCTGTAAGCCTACCATCATGCAATAGGCTCCGCTCCCTATGATTCCGGTCTGGCATGCGGCACAAGTCCTGACGACCTGCAGCATGCACTGTATGAGTGCCCGCAGGGGAATGCACATCGAGGCCGGCTAATGGAGAACAACGAGAGACCGGACCTGGATGTACTCTGAAAAAGGCCACGCGAGGTTGCCACCTACCTGTCTTCCAGCGACAGACTGCCGACCTCCTAACGAAGGCCAGCCAGAGGGAGAAAGGAAGGAAGGAAGGAAAAAGAAATAAAATTCCAGGAGGAATGAGAAATATTCAAGCCACAATCTTGATTCGCGTCAAAAACTTTTACATGTCTCTGAAGTCTGCAATTTTCTACGCCACAAGGGCAAAGGCAAAATGAGTAACCAACCAAACATCAATGCCTATGACAATTTAGTTGATTTCCTACCAGTTCTCCTTTTCCTCTTGTTCTTTCCCGGAACAGCAGGATCTATTCTGTTGGCAAGCCAACCTTGGAGAGTGCGACGAAGAGAAGCCACAAATACATGAAATGCCCGATCAGATCGTCGAACTAAGAGATTCAAGAGCTCCTGCAATTAAAACAGTAATGTTCAGAAAAATATATGGTCGTCAAATCTTAATCCTGCTCAAAAAAAAGGGGGGGGGGGATATATCGACAGATTTACAATGTAATGAAACGATGACTTACCTAAAACAAGTTTAGTCACACACTTAAGTAAAAAACGAGGTAAGTCATAAGTCACAGAAAGTAGGTACCAGAAACTAAATTTTCAAAGTAGCAGTATGCCAAATTTATCTGTTCCATTTGAAAGACCTATATCCACTGAGCATTTTGGTACCATTCTTTAACCTCTCAGTCAATTTTTAAGAAAATGGTAGTTGTTTAAAATTTGATCAAATTTGTTAATGTCAGTCACTGGCTGCAACCCCATGTTTGACGGATAATAAAAGAGTACCAAGCGCACTAAACATCTCCATATTAACAGAGTACAATCACTGTAACAAGTATATGGAGCCTAAATTTTTTCAAGACTGTGAGATCATTACAAATCAGTATTTTATCGCCTAAAACACGATGATCTGTTGTTATTTCGATAAAAACACCGAGCGTTGACCCGGCCGGCGCCGCTCCGGCCCCCGCAGCGAGCAAGTCGGCTCTATACTGTAGTGTACCCGGCGTGGGGGGTCACATGCTTTCCGAGACTCGCGGAAGGATTGATGAAAAATAATTCCAAACTGATTACTTTATTCTAATAGGCAATAAACTGATCTTTTAGAATATATATTTTTTAAGATGGTATTTTTCATATTTTGTGTAAAAAGTGATCTTTAAACATTTTGACAGTGTTTTTAAAAGCTTTCTATTTACACGCCAAATGCCAAACAAATACCACGGGAAAGTCCGTTTAAAGCTATACAGTTCTCCCCCAATGAAAAGACGGTATTTAATCATCCCTTGTTCCGCGAAACATTTGAATGCACGCATGTCAATTTTTCAACCGGCCGACCACGCATTCCGACCGCGAGGGGCTTCGCTTTCGTCGGCAATTCTCCAGCTCCTAATAATCGGACATAAAAACAACTGACACCATTGTAATGAGGAAAAGCTGAACTTTTACAAGGTGTACGGCATTTGGTGTTTTATAGCGAAAGAGCAAAGAAACAGCCATCTGAATTACCCCGATACCACGCGTTCGGAAGGCCGCGAGTGCCCGCGAGGCCGTGTTTACGCTACCTACAAAAAGTGCACTTTAATAGAGCTTAAAAACTCAATTCTCAAATAATCATATCAACCAGAGTCTGTGGGGTAACAGTAAGGTTCTTCGTCGTATGCAATAGACAGGACTTCAATTTCTATGCAGGAAAGTCTATTCTTTGTCGTATCTCGATCTCTTTGTACGTTTTATCGTACTTAACCAGGCTGGCCCTGACAGATGAGGCTGGGTAAAAGCAGCCTGCCTTTTAGATGACCAGAATTGTGTTGAAGGGGGCTCAAAACATTTACAATTATAATTAATTGAGTCTAAACAAACAAAAGAATGAGGAGTGTAGTGCGATTCATAGTAACACTTAAACTGAGAGGCATACCTCATTTATAGCTTCCACTGTATTTCTTTCTTTGATGCGGCTTACATCTGCATTTGAGAAGATGTGCTTTGAAATGAGATCATTGAAAATATCATCTGGAGTCATGTTCTCAACAAGAACATCACGATTTGATCGAAGAATTTGTTTATGTCTTTGTGACATCACATCATCACCTGAAATAAACGAGAAGCCAAAATATGGTCACATTATCTATGGGCAGTGTGAAATAAAAACAAAAGAACAATAAATTATTACATTTCAAGTGAAATACAATGGAGAGAGTGAGAGATAAAGAAAGAAAGGAACTTAGAAGCAATGATCAATCAAATGACTCTGACATTAAATTTACTCCGTAAAGAGAAGTGTGTCCCATTTCAGTAAATGCCTATAAAATTCTGTCACAAATGATCAAATAACTGAGCAAGTTCAATTCCCCAAATTCCCCTATTTCTGCCAAAATTAAATAAACATTGTCGTTGTAACAATAACAACAAGTACATCCATTTGACCCTGCTTTATAAGGAGAGAAAAAGTATTTAGTTAGTTCTTCTTTCTTGAAACAAAGACTCATTTATATTTATAGAGAGGGCTTTTCCCCCCTCGTCTGATGATAGTCAGACAAGTAAAATGATAGTGAAAGCTGTGGGCACATTGATGGTTGAATGAATGACAGAAATCAGGTGTTGGGGAATGAAAAAGTTAGTTCTTGCAGCATGCAGCATAAACAGTATGACAGCATATCCCGGAACAGAAAAGCTATTTCTCCTACATGATAGGAAGAGTCAAAGACTTCATCTCAAATATTTAATCAACCTAAACCTTACTTGGTGAACTCTTGCACACCACAAATCATTACTTCAGTAGACTATGAACTCATTACACTGTTACAGTACAGGATTTATGTTATAACACAGACATGGTCAACACTGCGTGATGTATAGAAAGAAAAGAAAGTCAGAGATAAGTACCAAGTAGTTGTAGATATAAAGCAGTAATTAAGCTAGTCCTTACTTGGGGGTACAGGCTGAGACCCCAGCCACCTTTCTGCCATTGGTACTTGATACAGGTAATTTTCAAGCAAATCATCCGTTAAGTAGTCAGCAAAATTGGTGTATCATTTTCCTTTTTATCTGGTTACCCAATCATTGTCAGTCATCCCTTCTTCTATATGTCCTTCCCCCATCCTACACTATCCTCATCCAAACTGATCACTCTGTAGTGGAAACCTCTTCAAGGTAGAATTGTTATCCTGCATCCTAATCCTTGCAATTTCAACTGCTATTATTAAGAAAACGGAAGGTTCAAAGGTAACATACCATCTCCATCATCTGAAGATCTACACGTGTCATCTTGAGGATCATCATAGTTAGAGGCGCCACCTAAAGATGAGTTGAATAAACTCTTCAGTCGAAGCTGTGACTCTTCTAATGTTGAACTCAGCTGAGCAGAATAGTTGTCAGCACTTCTTCGATTTCTATCTCTACTATTGTCATCATCATGGCCTCTTTTTGGAGCTGAAGCTGAAATAAAACCATCCAATAAAAAAAAAACCCACACCTCCTCACAGTTATAGTGTCAAAAAAGTAATTATTCGACTTTTAACTTGGCACATGTAATAAGAATCAGCAGGAAAACACTTCTTTAAAAAGTTAAAATCCCATCTGATATCTTGAGAAGAAGTAGCAGAACATGAATTATAAATGGACCCTCCAAACTTGTGTAGTACATGTTGAGAAAAAGGTCAGCTGAACAAGTCCAATAACAGGAACTAAAAGTAAAAGAATCTCATATCAGTTTCCCTGCCCTCCACTGGACACCCCAAGGACGTCGCAAAAGGGGCAGACCCAAAGTGACCCGGAGACGCACATTAGAGTCTGAAATGAAGTCTTGGAATCATACGGGGGGAACCCTGACCAAGATGGCCCAAAACAGACAGAGCTCGAAATCCTTTGTTGCTGCCCTAAACACCAGATGGCGTAATGGGTAGTAAGTAAGTAAGTATATCAGCTTCCATTTCGAGAAAAAAGAAGCACACGAACACAACAAAAGCAGTGCTTCCAACAGCTGAAGATGAAAAGTAAGGAAAATTCTGCTGGGGGTCTGGGGGGTGCAAAGGCCCCCAGCAGGGTCCAGGGACAGCCCCCTGGTTTGAGTTTCAGGGAGCAAAGCCCCAGAAGAAATTGAAATTTAGTGCTTTTTTAGATGGTTAAAAATGGCATTTGGGAGCCTGTTTAACTCACTTACTACTGGGCCCTTTCACCAGTCACAAGCATTGAAGACTGGTGTTTAGGGGAGTATTTCAATAAATCACCACAACTCTCAGAATTATTTTTTGACACAGTAAAGTAACATTCAAGCTTAATCTAATACAAAAATCTAAAATTGTCTAAGTCTAATACTTTAATTTGTCTCATTTAAAAAAAATTGGCATGAATTTGATTTTCCGAAAAATTTCCAGCCAGAGACGTGACAGGTAGAATGAAATTCACAACAAAAATAAAAGTTCAAAGTGTTCTGTTTTGATTTGTATGCATGTGTGAGTGTTAAGTCAGACCGAAGGGCTAGAACCCAAATGGCCGCTGGATCGGAAAAGTAAAAGTAAAGAAAAGTGAGTGTTAAGTGAAAATAAAAAAGCTGGTCTGTGCCTTGATTCAGACCCATACACTGTATTACATGAGACAGATGTACGGCACGACATTGTGATTCATTGCGCGAACAACAACACCAGTACTAGTGCTAGATCTAGCCCTAGAACTACGACTCAGGCCGTCTTCGGGTACATATCCAGGATCCTAACTACCAGACACATCATATTCTGAGATACAAGAACTAGTAAAACGTACAGAAGTATTGAAAACTGCGAAATTATGTGATTCTTCTTCATGCGACTTCTTCGACCGTTACTATGACGCGACTGTCGGATTACTATCAGCTATATAGAAAAAACAAAGCGCGAGTTCCGGTCTGTTCAACTCCAGTTGGGGTCACTGTCTTTCACCTTCAATAACTTAAAAACTACGGGCCCCAGAGATACGAAACAAAGTCTAAGAGCTCAGGCCTGGCCAAACAAGGATACAAGGCGGGTCACGCGATCCGTGCGTGATTTGTAGAGCGAAAAAAAATTCCAAAGTTGGTCATGCAGGGCTTGTGGGAACCATCGTGAGCGTCGCGGCGGGGATCACGCAACTGTGGTGTGAACCGTCTGAAGTGAGTTAAAGTGAATACTAACAACCCATAACACCTATTTTTTTCATTACGATTAGATCTATTGCTCAAACTCAAAGTAGAGTAATAATAATAACTTGAACGGCTCAAGTAGACCTATCAGTGTGAGAGATGTAAGAACTGGGGGAGAGCAAGATGCAGTGACACTGAAAATCTACCAATCTTGAACAGAAAGCTAAAATACAGTGACAATTTACTATCGTTAACACCCATCCAATGAAATGCAAACACTTTAGTTCAATAACAAGGGTTTCAAGGTATGGCGGATCCTAATTCCACACAAGGCCTGCACCAAAGCACGCTTTGCAGAGAGCTCTATTCAATATATTTAAAAACCTGTTATCAAGTTGCCTTCAGCACCCCCGAGTGCATCTTTAAAAAAAATCAATAATTCCCCCCATTCCAGAGTCATATTTCACAACGCTCCGACTTTGAGTGAACTTTGGCCACCTGAACAAGCGCCGGTACTCACACTCACACGATGCTGTAACATGTGATGTGGACATGCGCAGGTTCACTGACCAGTCATGATGTGGAGCCCGACAAGCTGAAAATCGGACGACACTTGTATTTTCTTTTCTTTTACAAGTGACAACAAAGTGACAATGATTTATTTTCACGGCGACACAGCGTTTATAATGCACGACCTGCATGTCACAAATAATGCGATATCACAGTATCATCTGCAAATTTCTGGGTAGTAACGAAAGCAGACCTTGATTTTCCCGATTGAGCCTCAGTGTCACAAACACTACCGCCTGTCGCTATAGCCACCTGTTCGCGTGAAGCATACTCTCAGACCGGGAAAAGCCGAATGAACATCACAATCGCAACCCGCAAAAATGAATTTACTAACCTATCCGATTTGGTTTTCAAATATTCTAGAACTTTATGTTCCGATATTTTCCCGGGTCTTTCCCAGGGCAGTTCACAGATTTCCTCATACTCACGGGTCTTGCAGGTTCCTATAACACGAACCTACTGCCGACAGAATTACCGTAAATATCTGTAACTTTTACAAGATGATACGATGGCGAGTACGGATCCTTTGCCCCGGAATTTCGGTAGCCCTACGCTATCGCACTTTTTACGGGCGGAGTTGATAATAATGGGGGAGCAAGTACGGAACTGTCAGAAAGTATGGATTTCCATAAAAATACGGAAGTCTGGAAGCACTGAAAAGTCACAAAGTACAAGAAAGCTAAAGACAATTTATAAACTGGAAAAATAGTGACACCCTCCGATACAACAGGCGCGCCGGTGTCTTGAGTATCTTGATTTACGGCATTGATGAGTCCAAATGGAAGTGATGCAATTATCATATGGCAAGTTGCAATCTCTGAATATAAATAAGACAAATTTATATTAAAGAAAGAAACCCATATCAGAGAATTTAGTACCGTAATTATAAACATTACTATAGTGTAGACAAGAATCAGTTGAAGACAATAATGTGAACAGCGAGAGCGAAGTGTTATGCTATCCAGAGAATGTTTAAGTTTGTAATTTGCGCATGCTGCTGCTGATATAAAATAGATGAGGAGGAGGTTTTGAGATTACTTGCACTAAGTGAGTTTGAAATAAGTGCAGCCCATGTACTTGCATATATATATAATCACAAACCCCTGTGTAATGGCATTAGCCCCCCTCCCCCCGATATTACTTAATACGGCACCTAAAGAACATCACACACGTACCTGAATCCCGTGGTGAAGAGGCATCATCTCTTTGAAGCGCTGATCTTCTCTCACGTTCTTCCCGCTCCTTTCTGCGTTGCAAGTCATTCTGCAATCAGGCAGAGGCATTGACATGAGATATAATAGTTAGCAGGGTTCCCACTCATCCAGAAGAAATATTTCCTTTTTTTTATTTTCCAGGTTTTCTCCTAACCATTTTCAATCATATTCAATGTGATCTGGCTTTTGTAAAAATCACAGAGGAGGGAAGAACAAATGAAGAGAAATAATAAGTTTTAACAGAATAAGGGTGAAATTGAACTAGAAAAACACTTACTAGCATTACCAATTAACAGCATCATTTTATAGGTACATGTTTTTCAATCAACAAGAAGACGACAGAAAAACTTCTCTCATAAGTGGTGTGACATTTGCTGAGATAAATCATACTAACCAATATATTAATATTACAAAAAGGCCTAAGCCATGAAGAAATAATTATCAGTGGTAGGTACATTTTTATCACCAAGATTACAAATTCAAACTTTATTTTATTCATTCTCTCAACCGCTTAGGACGTCATCCACAACGCAACAGCCCAGGAATTTTTTCACACATTGTCAAACTAATGTTTGCCTTACTCTTGGCTTTGCTTTGGTGCACTTTCTAAGGGTAAAGAGGTACTGACAAAACAACATGGGCTCTGTGCACAGAGAGTCTTAAATTGAGACAGCAGCATGTAATGTAGATATCAGGGTCTGATTTGATTGCTTGTTCTCTTCCTTTTACGATGGGCAGGAGGGGATAGGCATGGGTTGGGGTATCCGAATAGCATAGCACACATGAATTTTAAAAAATCAGAATCAGGGGTATCAAGATCATATTTTTGTAAAATTTAAACCAAAAAAAAATAATAACAAAAAGAATCAGCGCTGTTCTCAGGTTCACCCCTTCTACAACTTAACTTAAAAGTAGGAAAGTACACGTAGGGAAAACCCGCAAAGGACTCAGTGGTGCCCTGTTTAGTTTTAGGCAGCCAATCACAAACTGCTTAGCGATCAAGCGCCTTTCCTCGTCTGCTGGCAGGCTAGCTTGTTCAGGTTGTACCCCAGTTTCCGCCTCTAGTATTTTATTGCTGGATGGGTGGTAATTTTAAGTTGGTATGTAAAACGTACTCTACCAAGGATCTGAAATTTTACAGCAATAAAGGAGACATGTGGGGTGCTTGTCTGGTCAACGACCAATCCACAGCTCTTCTTAGTTTCTGAACTACAGAAGAAAAATTGCACGAACACGGCAATTTCTCCACCTCTAGTAATCTGTCCGCATTGGTCGCTGGCATAATAAGTTTTGCCTTTCCTCTGGCTGGTTGCCAAGTTTCATTTATTTTTGTCCATGGGTTTTTTCAGTAACTATACTTAGAAGAGAGTCACCTCTGATTCCAAACGACCCATTATATTACCCCTCGCACAGAGCCTGATTTCTGGCCCAATGCGCAGCGGATGATTGGCATTGCTATATAAACTTAAGTCAAACCTTTTCCCTCTCCAACCGCCTGATTTTTTCTTCAAGATCCTCTAGTTCTCCATGACTGCTGCGGCTTGATCCCTCTGCCATCATAGCACAGGGGCGATCACCTTCCTACAAAGTAGCACTGAAGAAGCATACATAGGTTTGTTATAATACAATCATGAAAAATAATTGAGGAAAAAAAGCAAATGCAGCTGCAAGCGCCATAAAAACCTCTACTAGATTCTATAAAAATTTTCTTTAAAAAGCAAAAACAAGTAAAAATATTGACATTGCCCCAGGATCTTTTTACCTCCCCAGTTGACCGTTGTACAAAAATAACTAGAGTGAAAGAATTATTTACGACTATGAGAGACTTGTGAAAATAGTGAAATGAACATTGAACATGATGTAAAAAAAAAAAGTGTGTGTATGTGATGGGGTTTTTTTTAATGTGATGTGGGCCAATGGCCTTAGGCCTACTGAATAAAACATGAATGGACCTCCTAGTCTACTAGATCTACTTCAGACTTCAGTTGCAAGACCAAACTCAGGTCCAAAACAGACACAGACCAGACAATTCAACTTCACAAGGTTTAATCCCAAATAAAAAATGAGAAGTACCTTGTGCTTGTAGAGTTAGCAGACTAGATCTAGAAATCTAGATCTAGATTCTAGATCTAGATTCTAGATTTATATCTAGATCTAGAATCTAGTCTAGATTTTTAAAAAAAATTTGAATTTCTGTGCGACTCAGCCATTACAAAACCAGTATGAGTAACGGGAGGACTTCCGTAACAAGCGACCACCCCAAAAAACACATGAATGAAGAAGAGAATCTTAACCCCACCCCAAACCTAAACCCTACCCTTACCCGACCCCTACCCCAAACCCTACTCCTATCCTCTTACTCTTACGGTAGGCTACCCCTCTCTACTCTGTCTCATCGTGGTCACTCGTTACAGTAGTCCTCCCCCATGGCAGTAGCATTCATCTTTTTACTTATACCATTCCAGGGAGGACTTCCGTAACGAGCGACCACTATGAGACAGGAAAGTGGCTATTCTCACCCGCTCGGAAGTTCTCGCAAGATCTACTCCTCCCCTCTTCTCTCTGTCTCTTTCAGAATACTGTCTATCGGTGAGGACGATCAAATTGACCAAAACACAAGTTAAAAAATGATGTTAAAACACAAAAGTAAATTAATTTGGTTGTCTACAAAGATGCTGCGGCTATTGAACTTTTCGAAT